TGTCCACTCTTCACAGCCGTTTTAGCAGGAGGTGCCACTGAGAGACATAAGATAGTTTTATTTTTGTACGTAAAGTTTTTCTATTCCACCAAGTGTTCAGTCCACCATCTCTCACCAATAAGGGTGAAGAGAGCACACGAGAAAAATCAGTGCCTTTTCGATGCAAGAGAAGGGTTAGGGCGCGATTGCCGACGGAACTCGCTCTGAATCCTGGACTCAGCGGCGTGGACTTGCTGGCGTGGTCACTGCTGGCGTGGTCACTGCTGGCGTGGTCACTGCCGACGTGGACTTGCTGGCGTGGTCACTGCCGACGTGGACTTGCTGGTGTGGTCACTGCTGGCGTGGACTTGCTGGTGTGGTCACTGCTGGGGTGGACTTGCTGGTGTGGTCACTGCTGGCGTGGTCACTGCTGGCAATGTCTTTAAGGACCAGAAGTCACTTGAAACAATGCAGCCGCCCCGTGACGCCACCCCCGACGCCCAGACGGCCACTGCTGCCTCCCGGGGCGTGTGACCCAGCCAGACCACAGTCTGTGCTGCCTGAAACGGACAGCGTATGAGATTCTAAGTAAATACAACTGTATTGTGAACGTCCTCCTGTCCAGGTACTTTTATTCCAAATATTCACGTAGAGATTGGGGGAGGGGGGAGGGTATAGGGGGGATAAAGGGTGATGCACGGAGACTCGAGTTGGGGTGGGGACACACAGTACAACGTACAGATGATGGGTTTAAATATTTTTAAAATTTATTTTTATTGATTTCAGAGAGGGAGAGGGAGAGAAACATCAATGATGAGAGAGAATCATGGACCGGCTGCCTCCTGCACGCCCCACACTGGGGATCGAGCCCGCCACCCAGGCATGTACCCTGACTGGGAATCAAACCCGGGACCCTTCAGTCCGCAGGCTGGCGCTCTATCCACTGAGCCAAACCAGCCAGGGCCAGATGATGTGTGTAGAACTGTGCACCTGAGGCCTGTATAATTTTCTTAACCAGGGTCACCCCAATAAATTCAATAAAAGAGAAAAAAATTAAGTCAATAATCCAATCATCCTCACCTGGATCACACAGGGCAGCCGTCACGTCGGTGAGGGAGCAGGCTGTAGGCGACCGAGTTGGGCTGCAAACACGTGCCTGGCTGGGCGTGTCTTCGTGCTGCCTTCCACCTGGCAGTCGGCCCCTGCGCTCAGCAGCCTCTCCGTCCCTCACGTCTTTCATGGGTCCGAGCCGCTGGTCACGGGTCCGAGCTGCTGGTCATGGGTCTGAGCAGCTGGTCATGGGTCTGAGCAGCTGGTCATGGCTCCGAGCAGCTGGTCATGGGTCCGAGCAGCTGGACATGGGTCCGAGGCGCTGGTCATGGGTCCGAGGCGCTGGTCATGGGTCCGAGCCACTGGTCATGGCTCCGCTGCTCTCGTCCCAGGCGCTGCTTTCTCTCCTCCTCTCCGCGTCCTCGGCACCCGCTGGGACTGGGACTGTGGGCCCTGTGGTTTCTTTTCCCATGTGGCCCCTGCCTTCCTGGTCTGTGCTCCTCTCCACACGTCCCCCCCTCCACGCCCCGGCCCAGAGCGCCAGGCCCCTCTCAAGGGCTCGCTTTCCCCTCCACCTCCCCTCGCTTCTCGCTTCCTCAACCTTGACTCACACCCTCCCCGGCCCCACCTCTCCACACCGAGTCCTCTGGGTGGTCCCCGTAGCCTGTGACAACCCTGTGTGACCCTGTTTGTGCACGAACGTCTCCCCTGCCGGGCCCCACGCTCTCCAATGTCCGGTACGGACACTCGCAGCGCTTCACTGATGTTTGCTGCGTGAGGAATATCCAGGAGGGTCCCTGAGGACCCACGGCTCCATCCCGAGGACCCGAAGCTCCATCCCGAGGACCCGAAGCTCCCAGCTGGAGGGACCCACGTCCCCTGCCCTCGCGGGAGGCCTGCACACCAAGGCTCCCTGAGCTCTTGGGACTGTGAAATGCCACGCTCCCTGTCGCGGGAAATGCAAGCCCCCCTCCACCCCCTCGCCTCACCACCACCACCACCACCCCATACACACACACCCCACTCCCCACCCCTCCACCCCCTCTCCTCACCACCACCACATACACACTCACACACACTCACACACACATTCACACACTCACATACACACTCACACACACTCACACACACTCACACACTCACACACACTCACACACTCACAGCCGCTATGAGGGGCAGAGCCGCTCCTGTGGCCGAAGTCCCACTGGGTTAAAGGCTTCGCTGGAGGTGAACGTGTGGCCAGGTGGCCGAGCACAGTATCTGGCTGGTACCCCATGTGCCCGGGAAGACGTGCCAGACGGCGCCTGTGCCAGGAGCCGCGCCTCCTGCGGTGATGGAGGGAGAGTGAGCCCGGACCAGGCGCGGCCTGTCTGGTCTGGAGGCAGTGGCTGTGCCTACAGCTCCTCCAGGATAACCGGTAACAGCTGCCCCTGCTCTGCCCCTGCCCCCTGAGGGGAGGAACCGGCAGGGACACGGGGTGACCGCGCCCCCGTCCTCCTCTCCCACTGGCTCCGCGCTCCGTGGGCAGCAGACGGAAGGAGCGGAAGGAGCGTGTCCAGTGGGTCCTGCGGGAGCGTCCTGAGCCTCCACCTTCCCGGCTGCGGGGACCACGGCGGCCACCCAGCGCCCCCTGGTGGGCAGGGCTCGCCATCGTCCCCTCCGCACCCTGGGAAGGAAGGGGGTCCTCCCTGCGGGGAGCTCCCAGAGCACCCTCCACCCTGTGTCCATGTCCCGGCCCCTGCCTCCGGCTCCTGCCTCTGGCTCGGCGTCTGTGTTATTCCTCCCACGGGGAACGTAAACCTCCCTGCATGGCGTCCCCTCCTCGAGACACCCCGTGGTTTTCTTATAAACGTGAGACAAGCCCGGCCGGCCTGGCTCAGGGGCTGAGCATCGACCTTTGAACCAGGAGTCAGGGTTCGATTCCCGGTCAGGGCACAGGCCTGGGTTTCGGGCTCAAACCCCCCCGCCCCCCTGTGTGGGGCGTGCAGGAGGCAGCCGATCCATGAATCTCTCTCATCATGGATGTTTCTCTCTCTCTCTCTCTCTCTCTCTCCCCCCCCCCCTTCCTCTCCAAAATCAATAAAAATACTTTTAAAAGTGAAAGAAAACACACTAAATGCCGGCATTCAAAGGCCACCCTCCCCTGGGCCTCACTCACCCCTGAGGGAGGCGGGCTGCAGAGCGAGGGGCTCCTTGATAGGGGCCAGCGCTTTCCTCCGTCTGCTGTCGGTTCCCTCCTCTCAGCCAGTGCCGAGTGTGGGTGACGGGACTGGCCCCTTAAGCGATGACCCTGAGGCCGCAGGACTCACCTGACCACCGAGAGAGCGAGAGCGAGCGACTGGGGGCCCATGTTCACTCCCAGGCAGGGAGCCTGGCCGCCATGCGGTTTGTCCTCAGGGAGAGCGGACTGAGCAACCCGCCGCCCAGGAACTGCTGTCGTTGGCTTTTTCACTTCTTCGTTGTTGAAAGCATTACCGATGTCCCCTTTTCCCGGTGGGCCCCCCACCCTGCCCCGCCCACTACTGTTTTTTAAATTGACCACTTTTTTTTATTGATTTCAGAGAGGAAGGGAGAGGGAGAAAGTCATGGATCGGCTGCCTCCTGCACACCCCACACTGGGGGTCGAGCCTGCAACCCGGGCCTGCGCCCTGACTGGGAATCGAACCCTGACTCCTGGGTCATAGGTCGTCGCTCAGCCCCTGAGCCACGCTGGCCGGGCTCTCAACGTGTCTTGTGTTGTGTTTTTCACGCTCGGTGTTGCTAAATACCCTTCATCGGGCGTCAGGTGAGTCACGGAGAGGAGTTAGCGGTGCTGCTGAGGAGATGGCTCTATTGGAGCATGTGAAGTTGTAGGGCCAGGCCCGCCGTGGGCCGTCTGTCCGGGGAACGTGCTCAGTCTGGGCTTATTCTCTCCCGTGGTGAGAGGTGGCTGAGGGGAATAATGACGTGTAATGTGAGGGTCCCACGGCGGCAGGAGATGTGCATTCGGGGCACAGGTGCTCACGGGATGCGCACGGGACACAGAGCCTCCTTTCTGAGGTGGAGCAGACAAGGACCAGGTCAGCGACGGATGTCGGGGGCCGTGCCGTTCCTCAGAGACCTGGGCCTTTCGCTTCAGGGAAGAGGGAGTGGTGTGTGTCCCTCTTTCTCCACCAAGTGCAACTGAACAAATATAACAAGTCACTGCAGGGGGCAAAGAAGGCGCCAGCTACGGCCCAACGAAGGTGGGTGGTGAGTTCCCTGGGGCAGGTGGGTGGTTGGTGGGTAAGGCGGTGGGTGGTTGTTGGTTGGTTGGTTGGTGGGTGGTGGGTGGGTGGTTGTTGGTTGATGGGTGGATGGTGGGTGGGTGGTAGTTGGTTGGTTGTTGGTTGTTGTTTGGTTGGTTGGTGGATGGTGGGTGGGTGGTGGGTTGTTGGTTGGTTGGGTGGTGGTTGGTTGGTTGGTTGGTTGGTGGGTTGGTTGGTTGGGTAGTTGATGGGGTGGGTGGTTGGTTGGTGGTTGGTTGATGATTGGTGGGTGGGTGGTTGTTGGTTGGTTGTTGGTTGTTGTTTGGTTGGTTGGTGGATGGTGGGTGGGTGGTGGGTTGTTGGTTGGTTGGGTGGTGGTTGGTTGGTTGGTTGGTTGGTGGGTTGGTTGGTTGGGTAGTTGATGGTTGGTTGGTGGATGGTGGGTGGGTTGGTTGGTGGTGGTTGGTAGGTGGGTGGAGAGTGGGTGGTTGGTTTTGCCTCGTGTATATCAAACTAGGTGCTAGCAGCCACAGCCCAGAAACCTGAGTGGACAGAGACAAAGAGGTCTGAACCTGCTCTCCAATCTATGAGTCAAATGATCTTCAATAAAAAGTTAATATAAAATATACAAAATAGTTATAACACAAAGAATGTGAGACGTCTCAGTTTATTCCCTTCAGTGGCAGGGATGTGGTTGCCTTCCTTCGAGGTCTGTTTACAGAGACGGCGTGTCCGTCTGCAAGAACCCGGGGCCACGAGAAGGCCGAGTGCCCGGATGGGAGGGAAGGAAACACCGTGAGGACCGAGGGCCACAGGAACCAAGAGGACAGACCACCACGTGCGCGAGGCCACACGGTCCACGGTCCACGTGGCCGGCCTGCAGCCTCCTGGGTCCCGGCCCCTCCTGGGCCCCTGGCTGGTGGGGCCTCAGGCTTCTCTAACCAGGAAGCCAGACACGGCGTCTCTTCCTTCACAGCCTCCAGGCGCCTCGGGATCCGAGAGTTCGAGTGGGGCCGTCGTTCGGGGCAGCGACCGTGTCATCCGTTTATTGTTTTTGTTTTAACAAAGCGGTGACTGGACGCCTGTGTGTGTTAGTGGGTGACCTACTTCCAGTCCAGGACACGGTGCCGGGCCTCACCTCTGACCTTCACCCTCCCGGACGCGTCCCTGGTCTCCTGGCGGCCATCGCAGTACACCGTCCTGACGGTGCCGTCGGGGAACTCCCGCCGCTTGAACTCGGCCGTGTGGATGTCGCGCTGCCCGTTGCTGAACACGATGGTCTTGTCGCCGTTCCTGGGGGAGGAGAAGGGGGCGTCAGCTCTCCTGGCGGGGCCCAGAGCCGCGAGTGTGGAAGGAGGGGGGCCTGGGTCCCCCTCCAGGTCTTGGAGCGGGGAGAGGGGGAGCACGTACAAAGGCTGGGCGGTGAAGGCCCACAGTGGGGCCAGCAGGTCAGCCGGGGGACATGCCAGCAGGCGGGCTGGGCCAGCTGGGCCTGGTCATGGAGAGCCCTACATCCCGAGCTGGGGGTGTCATCTGGAAGGAGGAGGCGGGCTGGAGGGTTTCATGGTCATCATTCAGGACCAAGGACCCAGAGGAAAGCAAGATGACCCAATGCTGAGGGGAGAGGGGGGCCCTGCCGTCACCCGGGAGGGAAAGGGCGAGGCTGGTGGTGGTGAGCTGGGACGGCGGGCTGGGTTTCATGGTCATCATTCAGGACCAAGGACCCAGAGGAAAGCAAGATGACCCAATGCTGAGGGGAGAGGGGGGCCCTGCCGCCGCCCGGGAGGGAAAGGGCGAGGC